AAGGTCGCGGTGGTTTAGACCACCGTCACTGTTGCGCAGTTCAGCGTCTCCAACGTAAGTATCTTTGATAATTTGCTCCACTAATATTGTTGAATATTTTTAAACAAACAATAAAATAAAGCTGTATAAACGTTATTACCTCGTCAATGGTATAATTACTAATATTTTTGAAAAAATAAACAAATAATATTATAATTCACTATTAGTTAAATATTTTGTACTAAAAGTAAGTGTACAATTAAGTAACACGATTGTTCACATAAGTATATCACTGCTGCGTCAACGGCGTATGATATACGCACGGAAGATACACATACAATGCTATCGGCCCGCCGAGTTAAAATTGTTTTTTTTTTTTTTTATTTTCAAATATTATATTATTTATTGCCTTTTAGTAGAAATTAATAAATGATAAAACTTCATGATTGCGTTTTCCTATTGTACAACTGTTTCAGATTAGATACAAATTCTATTTTTATGAGTGGATGATGTTTTTTAAAAAATAATATCGCTCATAGTTTTTTTGTTTTTTTTGTATTAAATTAATGTTTTTATTTATGACAAGCTGAATTACTAGGCATGGTCCGTGTCTGATTTTGAACTAAATTGTTCTATTTATTAAACTAATTTTATTTACGAGAACCGTTTACATCAGTATACGCAATTTCACTCTTATTACTTTTGTAATACTTTTTATATTACATTAAATTAAAATTCTTACACATATCCAATTAGCCAGACACTCAATAATTATAACAATAAATAAAGACGGATATAGTTCGCACGTGGGTGCAGCCACTGTTGTAGGTGGGAAGTTGGTAAGGTAGAATACAGACGGGACTTTAAATCTGTAAGCAACGATAAATCAATGCTACCAAAAAAACGATTCTGAGCGTAGTTCAGTTGATAGTATTGCTTTGTCAACAATATATAATATAATATAATATGGTAAAATTATTACAACAATGTGCGTTTCCACGACAACAGTGATTGTTTAAAAAAGATTTAAAATAATAAAAAATTAATAACAAAAAAATAAATAAAAACGGTTGCCAATGACAAATTAATTTTTAATCTTTTAATCTTTTTCAACCTAAAGAACCAAGTTTTCCTCATTATCTCGTATATTAATGAGAATTTTTAAAAATAATCTCTCTAAAGTACCACCCAGAGAACATTTCCTTTCAGAAAATGTGCTATATTTGTTAATCGGAGTAAGCTTTTTGGTAGAAAAATGTTTACGTAAAAAAAAAAAAAAAAAAAAACAAAATAAACATCACTGTAAAACCAATAAATTCCTCGTTCCGCTCAGAATCTAAAATGTATTACAAATACTTTCACTGCAATGTTACCGAACGGTGTTGCAGACGAGACAAACGATCGTTATAACATTTTAATACGGTTTCGGAATATTATAAATATTTATAATAGGTATACACGTATACATTATACACTGTTCGCTAAAATGTAAGCGTTAACTGTGTTGATTTTAAGAGTTTTAAGGGTAAATAGGATTACGTTTTCGAGTTGAGATAACGCTAACTTAAAGTTATCTTATAATATATTATAGTATTAAGTATATATACGAGTATGGTTGGTTAATGCCTTGAGTGATCTACTGAATACGTCAAATAAGTATGAAGGATGGCCTAATAAAATACACTGCAGACTTTCATATATATTATTATATTATATTATAATAAACACGTTCAATTTATCGAACGCGAAAGAGTTTCGGAAATTAAATGAAAATGTTCGTTGCTTTTTGCAGTGTTTTATTTTTTCTTTTTTTAAATATATAATTAAACGAAAATCATTTTATTTCGAATCGTTTGGTCGTAGAGTTGATAATAATGCAAATCGTTTTGTTTAATATTTTATTACGATTTGAAATGTATTTATTTTTATTTTTTTCTTAATGCATCGTGCAAAGAAATCGACATGAAAAATAACTCAACGTAATTTATGTTGTACTTGTTTATAATATGTATAATACAGTATAGTATGCTATTTTAAGAGCTCTCTAACAACGTTTTTATAGTTCTACTAACCAGTTTGTCAGGGGTTTTTTTTTAAATTTTTTTAATAAACTGTTTTATTCATAGTTTCTTGGCTATGATATATTTGTTATCGTGAAGTTAGGTATTTTTTAATTGACTATTTAAATACCAAGACCACCGAGGTCATGTGTATCTATTATTATTAATATTATAAAAAAACATTATTTTAATTTTGAAAATATAATAATTTATTTGACTTATGTTTATAATATTTTGTTGAGCTTCATACAAATTAACTAAATAACTTTTGTTTTTATTATTATTATTATTGTACTTAATAAAAATAAATAATTTTAATAATATTATTTACGGACATACTGCATTAATTCGTTTAATTATGTGAATAAATAATTAACTTGGCCTGTGTCGAGAAATAATTATTGCACCGTATTATACCTATGGAAATGGTGGAATAATGTTTTAATAATATATTTTCGATACGATCAGAATATTAAAATAGTCAGCATTCACAAATATTTAGGAAATAACCCAAAGGAATAAATTAACAATTGCATATACTAATATGTATAATTTTAATATTTTATTATTTGGTTATATTCGGGTGTGTTTGACCTCTAGTAGTCTAAGAATGTCTATTATCCCATAATCAAGATGACCATCTATCCGTATATGACTCTGTGGGCCTTATTTTTTTCGTCCAAAACCAATTCTTGCCACCTTATTTCAAATCGAAAAATTTGTTTAGTACGCGAAAAAACGTCGATCATAAAATATATTTAGGACTCGTGACCTTTTTTGGAATTTTATTGAAAAATTCTTTTGATTTTATTTTTTTTAAATTTAGAATCATTTAATTTTAATGAAATTTTTTAGTATTATAAAAATATAGTGTATTTCATTGTACTTTATCGAAACTGGAAAATGCAAAGTACAGAAGTGGAAAAAAAATTCAATACTTAGAAAAGGGCAATAACCTTGTACAACCGTATCCTCTAGTTAACGTTAAAATCTTCTTACCGAGTCAACGCATCCTGAAAGCTTTTGGCGTCTTTTTTCTGCATACTATCTACCATATATTTCCAAAAGTTAAATTTGGGTTCGGTTCCAGCAGTGTCCACATAACAGTCCATGGGTCCGACTTCTCCGTATCACATGCACGTTCAATGGACCTATCGTAGTCTTCATTTGTCGACGATTTCTAAAATATTCTCTTCTCCAAACGTTGTCTGCTACTGTAATTCTTTGGTATTCCTGCGCCTCCATCTTATGACACGTAATCGTTTACTGGACCAAAGGTGGCAAAAGTATTTTTCTTTCGAATATTTGTATACGTATATAATTTAGACCCCAGGCTAAATTTGTATTTTTGTCCGTTTTCTTCGGTGACCAAATTTCAGATCCGTACAACATTACCGCAGTCGTATATTACGGTAGGTACGTACCTATTAAAATCGTATTACATTATGTTTTTATTACATACCAAATGTAATTCTGAAATACCTAGTTGAAATTATACGAACAAAAATAATGTTCTCGAAACATATTAAATATCGTTAATATATAAACATTTCAGTGATATTTTTTTTTCAGTTGTTAATCTCTGTATTACGAAAATATCTCAATTACCCCACTACATAGGATGATAATTAAAATTTTATGTTACAGAAATTTTCTTGTATGTACAAGCAAAATAGAGAAAAACGTATAATGTACGTACAAGTTGTATTAAATTATTTAATTTGAAATTATATGTGGATTTAGAATTTGTATACACCCTTTGGGAGATGGGGGGGGGGATTTTAGTTCGACAATTTATTAAAATTTCAAGATTTCTAAAATATTTACGAAAAAAAATGTAGGTTTTCATTTTAATTATATAGTTTAAAAGACCCCCTCTATGTACAGATATTAATAAAATAACCTTAGTTTTCCTACTTACCCAAAGTTTTTTTTGTTACAAAAACTAAACAAATAATCTGTGGTCTCAAAGGCCACTAGGCTTAACAAAAGTAGACAGTTATTAAAGCTAATAATTGAGCTGACGTTAAAAAGCATACAATATTTCGTTAGTTTCTTTGATTTGGACAATTTTCTCCGGGAGAACATTTGGAAAATTCGGAAAGTCATTACATAAATTATATATATTTGAAAATAATTACCTTTTTCTGAAATTATGGTTGTAAAAAATACAACTAAATACAGAAAATCTAAAAATACCATTTACTAAAATATTTTCCGAATTTTTCTTAGCTGCATACAAATCTACCGCTTTTTCAAGAAATCTTCCGTTGAAACTTCACGCTTTTTAATGCTTATTAACATACAATGCATTAAGGGTCCTAATAACATTTTTTCATCTGTGAAAAATTTTTCTACCAGAAATATTACTCCAATTTACAAGAGCAGCACATTTTCTGCAAGGAAATTTAACTCAAAAGGTACTATAAGGAATTTTGATTTTCTCAAGAGTTTTCTCAATATATTAAAAAAAAACGGGAGAATGAGAAAATATAGGTAACTAAAATACTAAACAAATATTATTAAAGTAAATGTATAATGCATATGTAATTATTTTACCAAAATATTACAAAGGTATGTATTGTAAAGCAACACTTTCAACTGAACTTCGCTCAGAATCATTTTTTCGTTATTAATAGTTTATCGTTACTTACAGATAAATACATTTAATTCCCATCTATATCCTACCTTCCCCATTTCCTACCCACAACAGAAGCTGCACCCACGCGCGAAGTATATCCGTCTTTGTTTTCTTGTTTTTGCAAATTCTCTATTCATTATACTGAAAGACCTTTCAACCGAAGATGTAACGGGAATGACAAAAATTATTTCACAAAGCTGTTGTAACTCCGTATATCCCACATCACCTTCCATGATTTTAATCAATTCACTTGTATGTGCCTTGTATATTACACATTGTGCCACTATCAAATATAGATTTGATAAAAAAATTAAATGACTTCATGCCTGCCAGTATAATTTCTGCATTAGGCATTGGAAAATAATCACACATTTTTTCAATTCGGTGTCTTGTATAGTTTGTATATCAATGGAAGATTGGAAGCTATCAATGTGACTAGCGAATGTCATTATATCAACAGATTTGCCGTTGAATCTGTTTTCAATTTCTCTTATTAAACTTTCAACAGTTAAGCTTTTTACTCTTTTGACAAACTAATGAAATATTTATCTGACATTATTTTTGGTACACAATAATTTATCGTCACCATTGCTCAACAATATTACCTGAGCAATTAATGATTTCCATTGGGAAAAATAATTTTATAAATAGAGTACTGTGTTGACTTTTATCATCATGCATATTTTGTAGGTCAATCACCGTGAATCACATGTTCAATCTAATGAACAGCAAATTCAATAGGATCGCAAGAACATTTGTAAACGTACCAATTGCTTAAAATTTTTAGTTGAAGTGTCTTTGTATAATATTATAACTGCTTTGCAATTGTAATCAGCGATGGAAACATCGGTGTAGATACGGGAGTGAGTCAGATTCGAATTTTGTTATTATACGTATAATGATTATTTTAATACAATTATTACTTCAATACACACTTTCATTGAAACTATTTTTTTTTTTTTTTATTAACTCGTCGAGTTTATTAAAAACGGGTATTGTTGTCGTCACGGAGTTTCGGTGCATTTTTTGTACGGTATGCGGGTCTAAATTTATTAATATTATTCGAGTCCAATAATAATTCGACGTGTGCATAAGGTTTTCAGTCAAGTTCGATTATAATATTATGATACTTAAACATAATATATTGTGTAGTCTGAGGATTTTTAAAACGTGTACAATTCCCATTATAATAATACACCTAATCTAATCTACAATATTATTTTATTATCGAAAAAGCGAAACACAAATGTTCAATTAATATATTTGCATTTGTATAGGTACGCACTGAACTACTTTGCATACGAATTACGTACTTTATTATAACGAAAGGGAAAATTAGTCGTTTAAGTGTTAAACAGTATACCTACCAATACTCATAAAATGTACCTACGTAGTATATTACGGTAATTGGTTTTAGATTCTGAGCGTAACGAGGAATGTATTAGTTTTATTATGATGCGATGTTTTTTTTTTTTTCTTTTAATGTTTTCCACTACTGTCCGTGGTCAACTTTCTACCGACAACTTTGCTACAATCATTAACTTTAAGGTGTGGCTTCTGGTAGACATTTTGTCTGTACCTACAATAGACAAGCGTTTAAAGTTCGTGAAAAATCGTAAAGATCACGACATTTTAAAACATATAATATGATTAACCGAACTTTGTCGCGGTCTTTCTCGTAGTTTCTTTCCAGACGGTTTATCGATTAAAACGTTATTGATCTATTCTTTTGGGATATCATTATAAATGCTCGGCCTGTTGAATAGTCCAATGTTTGAGATTTTTCTCCGCTTATTATCTGAGTTTTGCACGCGAGTACACTACAATATATAAAGTCGGGTTTCATAATTTGGGAGGTTTAACCCGTATAATTTCACGATTATAAAGCGATGGACGGAGGCGCTTAAGAAATTTTGCTTCGGGGCGCCAAATGGCTTAACACGGCGGCTCTGGATAGGTCCTATCTTGCTCGTGGCGAATATTAATAAAACACCCCAGTTCACGTCGTGAAATATTCAAAACTGTCTTGATTTTTCGAGCAAATAATAAAACGATTTGCTTGATTGTTAATGTCACAATATCGTTAATTGTTATAGCATAATTAATATTTTGAAAAACGCGACTCGACCGAATAATGCACAACGGCAAGTATTGAAGTATGTGTATGGGTACGAGGCATATGCATTTGACAGTTTCCATTTACTTATATAAACGGTTTTAAATACGGACGCGATGAGGGACAGCTTTAGAGGGAACGTGTATACGAGCATCGTTAATTTTATCGTTTCGCTTAAAATCGAATAGCAAAATGTTTAAATTGTAATCGCGTACACGCTACGAGTTTAAGCTTCCGAAAATGTCGCTTCCGATGAATAACGGTCGTTGTGCGCCCGAACGTCGGGAAAAAAAAGAAAAGAAAAGATAATGACGTAAACAAATATTTAATTAAATTTTAAGAACGCGAATATTCGAGTCGATAATACGACCGCCGGGCGTTTCGACTTCGAGCCGGGGGGGGGGGGGGTCAACCGGGATAACCGCGGGGTCGACCAACGGTTCGACCGAGCCAGATGATATTGTGCCTAACACGTTAACCGAGCCCGGACCGATCGGACCGCGCAAAGTCGCACTCGATTGCGATTTATCAATCCGCGTCGGTTTCAATCGCACGCGCCGCGTTCCGGGCCGGGGCGTTTGCGGACGTCGGCCACGGGCGAAAGTATAGGTGGTGGTGGTGGTGGTGGCGGTGATGATGAGGGGGGGGGAAACGGGACGGGGACGAAACAATTAAATCTAATATCGACGGCCGATGCGAAAACAAACGTTTGCGAACAATTTACTGTTTGCGTCGACACGATATCGCCATCCGGACGCCGAATACGGCCGAACGAACCCGCGGTCCGCTTCACTCGGCAAAGTCTGCCCCGCGCGTCCGGCGCCACTGGAAGCGCCGCTTACCGATTCGGTCGGGAACGGCACTGGAAAAAAAACAAAAGCCCGTCCGCGGACGTGGGCATTCGCCGGAAAAAACCATCGCGTGAGGCACCTATCGCACTCGTCCGCGACGCGCGCCGCCGCCGCCGCTGTAAATTCACATATTTCGATACGACGTTGCCGTGTCGTCACCGGCCGCGGTCGCGGTCGTGGCCGTCGTACCGTACGCTCTCGGAACAGTTCAAGGTCAACGGGTTATCCGTACGTTATTACATAACCGCGGCGGCAGCGGCTCTCTCTCGCTCCCCGCTCTCTCTCTCTCTCTCTCACTCACTCTCTCTGTCGGGCGCTCCGCTCCGGGTTTTCGCGCGTTATCACTTATCGTCGTTTTTTGAATTTTTATTATTTTTTTTTTTCCCCCATCTCTCTTTCCCCTGTACCGTTTTCGATACAATCCATCCGATCCGATCGCATGCGTGTATTCAATAATAATAACCTATATTTCGATCAAACTGGCCCCGCGCGCGCGCGCGTGTGTTCATCGGAGGGCGAACGTACAACAATAAACCATCTGCCCCGCGACTGCAATCGTCGTCGCCGTCGTCGTCCCTCTCCCCCGCCTACCACCCGCCGTTCGCGCGCGTTCCCGTCGTACTTACCGTGCGCGACGGAGAAAAACCATTTCTGTGTAAACTATACGCGCGGGGTTCGACAGCGGTAACACAATAACGAAACGGGTTTCCGTTTCAGCGGCTCGTTTAAGGAACGAAAATATCTGGGTAGACATCCCGCCCAATGTATTGACAGTTCGACGAAAATAACAATGGACGTCGACGGTTCGTCAAAATATAAAGAGAAACAAAAAAAATCTCAAACGCACGAATGCCGAAACGGGAAACGAGTGCTCGGACAAAGTGATCTCGAAGAGGTGAAATAACGCAGATTTTCATGACGAACGCGAAGACTTCTTTTCAGCTTAATAGTATTGGAAATCCACGCGGGATAATATTGAGGTTCCGTTTCAAGTATTGTTCCCCGTATTGAACGTGCACGCCGTTCGCTTCGTACTGCAGCTAAACAAATAAAAACAATACCCTAAATACGAAATGGATAATACTCGTAGGTGCAAAAAATGTACCCGTAGTCTTTCTGTGTAAACCAGATGTGGAAAGAAGAACCCGGCACGTTTGGTTTGGATAAGTCTTGTCGGTGGGATGACGGTAAGGTATGCAGGCGGAATAATTGAGTTCGGCTAATGCAAAACTGAGGGAATAAAGTGCCCAAATAGCTAGGGTATCGGTAAAAAGTACGCTATAGAAAAGTTCAGAGGGACGAAGGTCTCTGTTGAAACTGATTGTGTAGCGGGGAGCGTTAAAGGGCGAAACCGCGCGAGTTGAAATGACACATAAAACAGATTGTAGAAAAAAAAAAAAAAACAAATAATAATAAAAATTAAAGCGATCCGTTCGGTTTACTGAAAATCAGTGGCGTGTGCAACATCGTTTTTGCCGACGTCCGACTGTCGTCTACACTTTCACTACTACCGACCGCCGCGTGTGAACATTCGTGAACGAATCGGTGATACATCGTCACCGCGGCTGTCGATTCCGGACCCCACTGTGCCTATAGTCGGACGTCCGGTCGACCCGCGGACCGATTTTGGCTGAAGCGCTGGCCGGCCTCGCCCGACGGTACGGGACCGGACGGAGCGGTGCGGCCGACGGCTGAAGACGAGAAATTGTCAAGAGACGCGCGACGTGCCAGCGGCGGACAGACTGTGGCGAGCGACAGATCAATCGGATCCGTTCGTTACGGACGGCGGCCGCGCGCCAATCCGAATTCCGGTCGACCGTGTCACACGTTCGGATCCGAGTTCGGCGGCCGTTTTTCGCGGGACGTCCGTGCAGTCTCCGCGACGCGAGACGGCGCGGCACACCGCGGCGCCGCGTAACGGCCACCTACACGCGCGTGTACCATTGCAGTGAACACGCTGCGCGCCTCGGGTCCTATCCGTCGCGCGGCCGCGCCCGCGGGACGCGCGACAATGCGCGCCTCCGTGCCTTACCCACGTCTGTACTACAACGTCACGTTATTATGTTATTCGCCGAAATTCGCTCGGAACGTTATTTACGCCGAGTTCGATGATAATAATAATAATAGTAAATATCGCGTATCCGACGACGGCCGTTCTCTGCGTCCTCTCTCGGCGCATGTAGCGAATTCATTGTTTCGCGCGATATTACAATAATAACAATAATAACAATAATAATGATAATAATATTATTAGCTCGTGTCGGAACGAAACGCGTAAACAGACGGTGACGCAACGAGTGTCGTATTCATCGCGACATTAATTGTGTTTTTTTTTTTTTTTTATTATTATTATCGTCATTCATTGTTATTATAACAATAATAATAATATAACGTTACAAGGTGCGCTTTGTCATTTTCCGCGGAGGGGGGAAAAAAAAAATCCAGACGGACGGAGAGAAAGAAATGTCTACGATGCGCCCGTCTCGAAGAACGATACGGCGGCGTTACGACATTCGGAAATGCGCGCCGCGCCCCGCTCCGGGAGTAAATATCGGTCAGCGGGACG